CTGATCTCCTTACCCACTTGAACCAAACACCCACCTCCCTTGTTATGCTAAGAATTTCCCTTATCAGCTGTCTATATTGCCAAATTCCCAGCTGCCCTGATTGCATCCACCCAATTACCAACTTGGAGTCTCCCTCTATCTCAATCTGCTGTAGCCCCAACTGTTTGGCCAGTTTTGCACCTTGATGTAGTGCCAAGATTTCCGCTCTTAAGGAATCTCCAACTCTTATTGGACCTGAAAACAAAGCCATTATCATGCCTTCATTATCTCTGAAAACACCTCCTATACCAGATGGGCCTGGATTACCTATAGAGCTTCCATCAAAGTTCAGTTTCACCCTTTGTTGTGCYRRTGVGGACCAAAMTTCYTGTATCATAGCTTTGGAAGTAGTAGTAGATGCCACAATACACCAACTTTTATAAATGTCTTCAACTGAGAAATCCTTAAAAAGATCACAGGATTTCAACCAATGGATAACTTTAGTAGTTATTCCTTCCACAACCTCTTCCTTGGATCTACATCTGCCTTTAAAGATCCTATTATTTATTTCCTCCCAAATTGACCACAATACAACAGCTCTAGTGGCTCTCTACATAATCCTTCCACGAATCATTGGTTGCCTGTAGAAAGTTGGATCAAAGAGGTTCATCACGCTTGAGGAGGGAGTCCACCTGTAGCCAAAGAGAGAAGAGAACCAAGACCAAATAAAGAAAACAAAGGGACATGAGATTAGTAAATGTGAAATTGTCTCACCAGAACCCAAACAAAGGCAACCGACATGGGGGGAGAGGCACATATTTGGCCTCTTTTTTCTGCAATAAATCCATGGTGTTGATTTTTTGGAGTATCACTTCCCAACAGAAGGCTTGAATTTTAGGGGGTACAGGGCTACCCCACACCTCCTTTAAACATCGTTTTGTTATATTATTAAAGAAGAGGAACTACCATGAGGTTAAAATTGGGTTGGGCACTTGGGGCCCATGATTCATTGGTTGATGCTCTGTTTCGTGCGAATGTTTAATCACAGAGAAAGTTGAATAAAATAGAAAGTCATAGTAAATTGCAAGATTATTTCTTCTGTTTTTGTTTTCTACAAACTTATAAAAATGGAAAACATATATACTAAAAATTCAAATACATATAGAAAAGTAATTTTATGCTATTATAATTAATTAAGTTGAACTTGATAGTCAACTACTCCATATAAATGGTCCTCTAATCTACATATGATGGAAAATAGATTCAACATGGTTTCTAAAAGGTATTAAGTAACCTAAAAAGTCATTTTTAGTAACTTTGAAACAAGTGTCTCTTGAAAAAAAAATTAAAAGAAACAAGGAAATGAGAAGGTAGAGAAGAAAATTTTAATTGAACTGATTTGAATCGCATGAATTGTAGGATTTTTCTTTTATGGCTTGAACACAAGATTCAAATTGGAACCTTTGAGATTCATGATTCAAATCGTGAATTGAATAATAAATCATAACATTTTAACAACTATACCGTGGGCCCAATCCCCCCTGCCCCACAAGGGTGAATGAAAGGGCTGACCATCCAAATCCATTGATCCTTCACAAAAACATAAGTTAAAATGATCAAAACCATATTTACAAAGTTATTAAATAGATGGCATTTGCCTTCAGCTTAGTTGCTTGTTCCCTATAGAAGTCTTGAATCTGAGTTTTCAAGCCATAGTTATCAAGATGATGTCTAGGTGAGCAGGCATTTTCTGGAGGGCACCTTTATATATTACACTGTTTTTAACATGTCTTCAGAAGATGCTTTTTGTGGTTTCAAAATTAACCAATGTGGTTTTAAAGCATGATTAACAACTATTTGAGTCATCCAGTTTCTTTGACAAGCTGGACGAGCTGGGTGGGATACTGCTAGTTATGTTGCCACCAAAGCCTAAAAAAGAAAAAATAAGGGGAAAATTTATGAGACTTAGGATTATATTTTATTTTTTAAAACTAGATAAGCAATGGGTGATATTAAAAACAAGTCAAGGAAAAGGCGCTGAGCATTGCAAATATGTTTTTATGCCTATATATGTATGGTAAAACTTATTGACAACATTGTCTTCATCAGACTCTGGAATTTCTGAAATATCATAATGAAAAGGCGCTGAGCATTTTTTTTGAGACACCGCCAGCATCCATGTCCATTTGGATTCTGAAGTGCCCTTTTGCCCAATTTTATTGAAATGTGGATGCTGAGCATTTCTAATCATATAAGTGGTGCCATGTATGCCTTTTATGTTCTTATTGGCATATGAGCCGCTTTAAGGATTTGTAATGGTATGCTTTATGATGATGATATATGGAATATAAACAACACATTCAAGGTTGGGGAGTTGCCCTTTCTATATTAGTCTGACCGGCCTTTTGTTTTTCTTGATGAGGTAATGTAAAACTGTATTTATCGAAAAAAAGGTATACAAGTATGTAAGTTTACAGTACAAAAAAGATTTTGTACATATGAACACCATTAAGAACCCCCAAAGAAGTCAACAGCCAAAAAAGAAGACAAAAGGTTGTCTTTAAAATGTAAGTTGATCCTCAACCATCCTCCGAGTTTCTTGACAATTTGATTTAATCAGCACCTCTTCTTGAGACTGTTTTTGGTCAAAACTCCTCCTATTCCTTTTGCCCCGTATAGCCCATAGCACAGCTAGGGGAATGACAGACCATAGAATCCACCCCTTCTTACTTATTCCTCCAGCTTTCCAACTTTCAAAAAGTGGTTTGACTGAAATAGGCGTGCACCTTTGGAGAAATATGGTTTTGAGAAAATGAGACCAGATTCTGGCGGAGAAGCTACAGTGGACTAACAAGTGGTTAGATGCCTCTTTCTCTTTGTTGCACAGAGCACACATGATGCTAGGCAAGCTCAAACCTTTCCTGACCGGCATATTCTTCGTAAAACATTTCTCTTCAGCAGCTAACCAAGAGAAAAATTTTACTTTCAAAGGAGCAATCCTGCCCCAAGCAACTTTACTAGGAAAATAGCTGGTGGATTCTGACCTCAAGCCATTGTAAAATGATTTGAGTGAAAAGGAACCAGATTTGGACCACAACCAAAATCTTTGATCTGGAAGCTCTGGCTTTGTTCTTAAGCTTTTCAACATGGACAGCACATCAGAAATTTGAGGCAGCTCCCAATCATTAAAATTCCTTCTGAAAGAAATAGTCCAGAGTCCAGACCACTGAGTCACGATGACTAACATAAGAAGCATTTTGTCAGAAGTCATTGAAAACAAATCTGGGAAAACTTCCATAAGGGGCAAGTCTGCAGCTCTGCACATCAGTTGTCTTTCCAGAACCTCAACTTGTTACCTTCCCCTACCTTGTACCCCTTCAGAAAATGAGGATAGGCTTTGTAGATCCCTCTCCATACTCCACAGTCATATGGACAGTCAAATTCAGTTGCATCCCAGCCATTATCCTGTAAGCCATATTTCTGAGCAATGATATTTCTCCATAAATCATTTAGCTCATCAAAGAGCCTCCAAAACCACCTACCGAAGAGAGCCAAGTTGAACACCTTTAAATTCCTTTTGATAAAATACCTTATCTTGTAGGATGCTAAATTGTTACTCATCTTCTCCATTACTAGGGCCTATATGCTTTTTGAGGTGCATTTGTCCCCCAATGGCAGACCTGAATATTTGGAGGGCAAGGTGCTGGTTTTACACCCCAGCAAATCTGCTAGATCATGCAAACTTTCCACTTCCCCCATTGCCATTGCCATTGCCATCATTTCACTTTTTGCAAAATTCCTTCATACTTGAAACCACCTCAAAACAAACTAATAGAGTATTGTCAACAAATGGAAGTAAAGGGATCTGAATTCCCTCATCAGTATTGCAAACATCAAAACCCTCCATGTTCATGACACCCACCCTCTACTGCTCTGGCAGTCATCCTACTTAAACCTTCTATCACATCAAGAAATAAAAGAGGAGATAGGGTGTCACCTTGCCTAAGACCCCTGGGGCTCTTGAAATTTCCTTTTGCAGGTCCATTTAAAAGGATCGAGAACCTGGTTATAGTGGTTTAATCCTTTATCCTGTTTCTCCATTTTTGCACAAAGCGCCTTCCTTCCATCATGTAGTCTAACAAAGCCAGGTTCACATGGTCATATAGAGTTTCTCTAGATCAACTACACAAACTAGGCCCTTCTTACTGTTGCTTCTCCTTGAGTCTATTAGCTTAGTAGCTTTTAGGACCCCATCTTTGATATGTTTATAATGAATAAAAGCTCCTTGAGAGATTGAGATGATGCAACCCATCACTTTTCTCAACCTTGATGCTAAGAGTTTCACAATGATTTTATACACACTTTCTATTAAACTTATTGGCCTGAAATATTTCACACCAGAAGTACCTTTCTTCTTAGGGATGAGAGAAATGAAGGTACCATTAAAACTCCTTCCTAGGGCTACTGAAGAGTGAAGTTAATTCAAAAATTTCATCAAATCCTTCTTCATCAGCTCCCAGAATTTTTTTGTAGAATAAAATTGTAAAACCATTTGGCCCAGGGACTTTATATCTCCCTCAATTTCATCAAAGACTGATCTGACTTCCTCTGAGAAAAGTTTTTCCAATTCTGCAAAATAAGGTCTATAATTATATGCTAAATGATCTTTATCATATCACTTGCTGTATGTTATAGCCTTTATTAACATACTCATGAGAGTGCATCATTATCTTATATTTTGAACATATCTTTTTTGTGATTGTGAAAAGTTGACAAATGTTGAGTTATTGCTAAAAAAGTGTGTATATATATATATATATATTGTGATCAAATGGTCAGCACTGTAGCATCAACTAGTCAATGCTAGAGGCCAAAACAAGTATCCATTGCCTTGTTGCATTGGCAAAGCTACTTTTACTATAGATTTTAAATGTCTTGAGTGGTTCGTTTTAAAATTTCTTGTTTTTTTAGTGGTTATGAACTTTATAGATTCATGCCTTTGTATAATTTTTTGGGTAACTTATAGATAACCACCTTGTACTTAGGGGGTGGTAACACTTAGCCCCCAAACTTTGTTTTGCAACAAAGACCCCCTAGGGGTGCAACTTGGGTGGGCTTGGGATGGGCTTTTGTCAAAGTTTAAATGGGCCAGGTCCAGAGGCCCAACCCTAAAAAAATGCTAACTCGGGCCAACCTGAGTTGTGGCTGTACCCCCTCTTGCCTCCCCTTTGGAACTTCTAGATTCCACTTTCCAGTACTTTGCCCTTGCCCCCTGACCTTCTGATAGGGTTAATGGTGAAAGAATTTTTTTTTAATGTTTTTGAAAAAGAAAAAAACTAAATTGTTCATTTGAGATTCTATGGGTTGCCAACAACAAATATCATCATCATGTAAGCCTTGTCCACTGGTCAGCTACATGAATCCTGCTCTCCCATTCTGTTCTAACAGATCGCCCTTCAACTTGTAACAAATCACTTTTTCTAACAGGTGCTATATATGGTATTCTTTGCACCTGGCAACAACAAATATCAAAATGATGATGAAAATAACCATTCTAATGCACAAATTGTTCTCAAGGCTTTCTCAAGATGAACTTTGTTGAAAGAATTACAGTGAATGAATGAAATCAATACTTTACCTTTCTCCTCTCTCTTTCTCTCTCAAAAAAAAAAAAAAACTTTGTTGAAAGAAACATGTGGACATTAAGATCTGAGAAAAACTAAGTTAAAAGGGCAAAATGGTTTCATAAAATAATATAACGGTGGTTGGGGTTTTAGAAATGTTTAAAGGAATATTAACTGATGGAATGCTAACACTGGTAGCGAAGTGCTAGCATATAGAAGTTGAGGGGGGTCTTTGTTGCAAAAAAAAGTTCAGGGGGCCAAGTGTCACTACCCCCCAAGTACAGGGTGGCTGTCCCCTTTTTTTGTACCCTTTTGTCCTGTTCCTTAAATCTTGTTCAAACCAAGGATTAAAGTATCAATAACTGATAAAAAAAGGATTTAAGTATGAATATGTATTGATATCAAAAGTCACCAAAACTGAAAATACTGAAAATTAGGGATATTAAAAGTGTCAACTGTCAATATCCATCCTAACAAACCCATCTGTAAATATCAAACTCATAAAAGTTAAAAGAAAAAAGAGTGCTGACTGATTGAAGCACACAATACACTTTTTTTTGGTATGGTGTGTGTTGAAATGTTAAACCTTGGTTCAAACATTTAGTTGCCAGCTTTACTGGAATAAATTTCTAGCCACTCATTATTTGATACTTTATTTCTTATAATGTGTTCAGCTGGTTGCTCTGATGGAAGCTGTGTCATCTGGGACTTTGAGACCAGGGGGATAGCTAAGGAGCTACGAGACAATGATTGTGTTGCCCCCATTACAAGTGTCTGTTGGTCAAAGTATGGTCACCACATACTTGTTTCAGCCACTGACAAGTCCTTGACACTTTGGGATGTTGTCAATGGTGAAAAGATTACACGCACAACTCTGCAGCAAACCACATTACATGCTCGTCTGCATCCTAATTCCTCCACTCCTTCTGTGTGCTTGGCATGTCCTCTTTCTTCTGCCCCTATCATTGTCAATTTAAACACTGGAAGCACAACTGTGCTGCCAGTTTCGGTGTCTGAAGCAGGTGCTGGCACTGTTCTTCCATCACGCAACAAGTTTTCAGATGGGTCTCCTCCTTTTACTCCAACTGCTGCATGCTTTAGCAAGAATGGAGACCTAATTTATGTGGGGAATTCAAAAGGAGAAATACTTATAATTGACTACAAGAACATTCAAGTGCATGGAATGGTTCCTGTTTCTGGGGCTGCTGTTATTAAGAATATTGTATTCAGTAGGAATGGGCGATACCTCCTTACAAATTCAAATGACCGGACAATTAGGGTCTATGAGAATCTTTTGCCCCTCAAAGATGGGGCAAGGGCTCTCAGTGAGCTATACAGTACCATGGATGAGCTGCAGGGTGTTGATAAGCTGAAGGCAGTTGGGTCTAAGTGCTTGGTATTTTTCCGTGAGTTTCAGGATTCTGTCACTAGGATCCATTGGAAAGCACCTTGTTTCAGTGGTGATGGTGAGTGGGTGGTTGGTGCTTCTGCTAGCAAAGGAGAACACAAAATCTACATATGGGACAGGGCAGGGCATCTAGTAAAGATCCTTGATGGTCCCAAAGAAGCATTGACAGATCTTGCATGGCATCCAGTGCATCCTATTGTAGTTTCAGTTTCCTTTAGTGGAGTGGTTTATATATGGGCTAAAGATTATACTGAGAACTGGAGTGCGTTTGCTCCAGATTTCAAAGAACTTGAGGAAAATGAAGAGTATGTAGAAAGAGAAGATGAATTTGATTTGATGCCTGAAACTGAGAAGGTGAGAAAAAGAAAGCTTATTAGACCATATATTTTTGTTTGATCTTTGACTTTTAGATTTTCTTAATTTTAAAGCTCTTGTCCACAGGTGAAGGAATCAGATATTAATGAAGATGAGGAGGTTGATATTATGACTGTGGAGAAGGATTCTTCTTTCAGTGATTCTGATATCTCAGTGGAAGAACTGTGTTTCTTACCAGCAATTCCTTGTCCAGATGTTCCTGAACAGCAAGATAAGTATATTGGAAGCTCATCAAAGTTGGTAGACAGTAATCATTCTGGATCTCCTCTCTCGGAAGAGGGAGCACAGAATGGGCAAGTAACAAATCCTGCTTCAAGTCCAGTAGAAGGTAAATCTATGGTTTCCACGTTTATTGTAACTCTTTACACTCTTGATTTGAGCGGTCTAGTGAACAGCTATGGAATATTCATATGTTTGATACTCTGATGTTCATCTTAACTGCCTGGGCACATTCATCATGTGGCACATAGCGGGACTGGGGGAGTCACCATTCAATGAATAATACTATCTAGGAATTGTCTTTGACCAGAAGTTGTTCCATCTAGACGACCCTAACCATTTGTGTTGAGTTCTATTGGAAATAGGGGAAAATATGGTAGACAGTCTAAGGGGCATAAAACAGGAAGATTTATGGATCTGATGGTTGGGATCATTTGATTTTATTGATTTTGAATCCTTTGAACCTCAGTATATAAGATGTACGAGGATCAAAATATTGGTATGCCCAATAACAAAAAGTAAGTATTGGTGCCTATTAATAAGACCGATATTCTTTTTTATCGCCCTGAGTGGGATGCCTTCTATCATCCCAAACTTTCAACCCCCAGCCCTGTGTTTATTGGTGTGTCCATGAGTGTCACCATGACCTTGGATACTGATAAGATATGCCCGATATCTTATCACTATTTTGATCCTTAGATGCATACATGCATACATGCATCACATGGTTCTTTTCAAATCGTTTTATATTCCAGCTTTTGCCAAGTATTTGCAGTTTTCATTTCAGGTCCATTTGGTTTGCAGGAATAGGGGGTCTGGAATCAGAATCGGAATGGTCCATTTTGATTCCAACTGTTTGGTTGGGTGGAATCAGAACCCCATTCCGATTCCTAGTGGAATGGCATTAATGACATTTCTCGATTTGAGGGAATGGCCATTCCCTCCCCCTCCCTTGGTAATGAAAATCCATTCCAGCAAATTCTGATTCCAATTCCCATCTGAACCAAACAGGTGGGAGGAGTAGACCATTCCAATTGCGATTACGATTCTGACTGTGAACCAAATGAGCCCTTGCTTCTTTTTATAATCTAACATGAATGTCTGCACTTTTGCAGCAATAGACAATTCTATTGCCGAGGATACAGGTGCAGCTCGCTTGAAAAGAAAGCGGAAGCCCTCAGAGAAGGGGTTGGAATTGCAGGCAGAGAAGGGCAAGAAACCGAAGCCATTAGGGAAGGTTAAATCTTCTGGTAAGTCATCAAAGAGCAAAAACAAATCTGCAGTGGGACAGGACAACGGTGTCTCTGTGTCTGCAAATGGTGCAACTGATTAGTGCTTTTAGATAGTACTAATTGTATTTTTATGTTATTTAAGATACCATTACTTGATGTAATGGTAAAATCTCGGGCTGGCAAATGTGAGAGTGCAGTTTCAAGTCTGGGAGTGGTCACCTTGTATAAAAAATGCCAGAGATTAGGACCTTAGCCAGTCTACCCCGTCCAAGTTGGCAAGTCTCCAGATGGAGGGGGCTACATTGGGTAATGGCCTTTCGTTTTTTAAGATGCCAATATGCCAATATGCCATCTAGATGGATAGAGAAATAACTTAAAAGGGATGATGTACTACTGATGCTCACGTCCTACCCAAGAATCAATACCCCCGGGTAACCCAGGTTATGTTTTATGTATGGGTTGTTTCTACCTCCTACAAATTCACAATCATCGGAGAACTACGGATTGATGGTTGAACCGTTGAACCCATTTAAAGGGAAGGAGCGCTGTCAGACCAGTGCCCGTGAAACGGATTGGTTTCTAATCAATAATGTTGCCCTGGTTCAACTACCAGTTGATCTGTGATGACGTCGTTAATGGCAATAACCTTTAATTGTGTTACATATACTTAGTAACCTGTATAGCTATGACTAATTATCTATTCTCCATCCTAGTCTTGTAAGTTGTAACCTCTTGTATGCGCACACACACAGAATTATTTGAGTGTTGAAGCTGATATCCTGAAAATGAAAAAACGAAAATACAGAAGAATATTACTTAGACTCTAGATCGCCGAAGAGCTCACCTATCTATTAGTGGTGGCAATTGGGCGGGTTGGGTTGGGTTTGCTTTGGGTTGATTTTCAATCCAACCCATTTAACCTGTCAATCCGTTAATGACCCAGTTATATAAAATTAAATGGGTTGGGTTCAATCCAAACTCTCTTTAATCCAATCCAACCTGTTCAAACTCATTAACCTTATATTTATGTACTTAAAACAAAAAACTGACTCATTTTTAACAAATAAGTTGGTCATAGATTAGTGGTAATAGTAATTGTTATTTACACAAGTGGTGAAGGTTCAAATCACATTACATGCATGTTATTTTTATACAAGTAACAAAGCCATTTAACTATGTTCGGGTTTTGGATTTGATGAACTACATAAGTGCAAATTGGTCAGACCAACTTGAATTATCTAATTGGATTGTCTGCAAGGTAATCACATAAGTTCAAGAGTGGTTGAACCGTTTAGATCCGGATCAGTCTGGTTGGACTAGACCCTATCCGAACCGGTTCAGTCTGGTCGGGTTAGACCTCGATTGGTCTAGTGCAATTTAGTCGGACTAGATTGGATTGGTTCAATCAAAGGTGGGTTGACTTGGGTCGGCTCATATCAGGTTTGTGCATGGGTTTGGGGTTGAACTGATTGGCCCGAAGTGGGTCAAAAGAAGTAAATTGGACCGTGTTAGATTTGGGTCGGGTTGAACAGATATGAACCAAATTGGGCAAAAACAAGCAGGGTGGTTTAGGGCTTGGGCCCCACCCGGTTTGATCTGTTTTGTATTCGGGTTGGCACGGATCAGCTTCTATCGGGTCGAGCCAGGCTATGTGAATATTGGTTGGACTAAACAACTCAAATTGGGCAAAGCAAGCGATATTGAGCCATCTTGGCCAAGGTTTATTTTAGATTTGGGTCAACTCAGATTGGTATATGTTGGATTTGGTTCGACTACGTTGAATTGGTTTGGATTTGGGTCAAATTGATTTGGATTTATGTTGGGTGAAGTGTGTTGATTCAAGACAAAACTAAGTTTAGTCAATAATTAATAGAAAGTTAATGTATTAATTATAAATTATTTAATTCAAATGAAGAAAAAGAAAGGTAAGGAATTAATACTAATGTTTGTAATGGTTATCCCAACGGTTATCCACAGTCCAACTCAGCCCATTTAAATGGGTGAATTAGGTGATGGGTTGATCACATAACCCGCCAAATAAATGGGCGGGTTGAATGGATTCAGCCGATTGGGTGAAAAATTGCCATCCCTACTAGCTATCTGGGTCATTCACTGCAACCTTAATCACTTGATTCGCTTCAGCATTCTGTTTCTTCTCAGGCAATGTGTATCACATCTCTCCCATATTGGCATTTACTTGTTTTTTGGTTAAATGTTAACAATGACACCATTAATTTGGGTTAAAAAGAGACTTGAGCACCTCTTCGGGTTAGAGAGCAGCCATTACTTGGCTAAAATGCGGAAGATGAATTTGAGAATCTAGGCCTCATGCAAATACGAAGTGCTATTAAAACTTTAAATTATTTTACCAAACTGCACAGATTCTTCCCAATGGACAACGTGCTTGTGTGTTGGATATGCCTTTTATGTATTCTTAAGAATATTTTCTTTTAGTCTAAGTTTGAAAAGGAGTACAACAAATACAAATATGTAGAGTCTAGAGTGCAAAACCTTGTACTTTCTATTATATTATTTTATATGTATTTGTATTATACATATTCGTATTTATATTGTTTCCAAAATCTTCAAATTTATTTGGGCTGATACAAGTAAAATAGCAATTTATGCAAACTATGTGGGGTTGATTATAGGAGTTCTGTTAAATGCCATATCCCATATCCACTGGATAAATAATATCATGTCTCGAAAAGAGAAACATTTTTAGCAGTATATATTTTTCATGTTTTTGTCCACAAGCCTATATTATATATTTATATCCCCTTGCCAAGCCAAACGTTTGGACACCATGGGATTCTGATCCGGATGCTCATATCCTTGCAATATTAAGTTTGCTAAAACAAAGATTAAACAACTTGGAAAAATGTCATCGTAATTCACTTGGCAATTTGTAGTGCCAATGCGACTATCATTGCATTGTCCCCCTTATTTGAGAAACGTCGAAAAAGAGATGGATTCACCTTGACATGATGCCCAAAACACTTATAACCAATCAACTAGTATCATCAGTGTGGTAACGTATTTATTGGCATTAATCAAGACTCATGGGAAGAGGGGAGGTTTGGTTGGTCTAAGGCTTTAAGCTCTTCCTGTATCATGTATTTTTGGCAATAACAAATGCATTTCACCTTTTTTCTGTATACACATATGGCCTTGTCAAATTAGGGTTGTCAATAGATTAGATATATTGGTCCAATTCAAACTAGGATTGTCAGTGGACAAGATACTGGTCCAATTCAAACTAGGGTTGTCAGACCGTTCAAATTGATTTAAAATTAGATTTAGCTCAACCCAAACTTTTGCAAGGCCCATACTCGTTTTAATTGCCCCATCCGTATTGAGTTTGAAAGTATTCGTCGGAGGAGGAGTCCATTTAATACTTCTGCAGCACTTACCAACACTTGAGACAGTTAGGTTAGCCGCAAAAAACATATTGTTTTTGCATTAGGACTCTTTTGTTGAAAAATCTTTTCATTTCTTGCTTTTCAAATTAACCAAAGAGAATGACAAAAAAAGGGATAGATTCCTATGATCCATAGTTTTCAAAAGATATCCAACCTATCCTAAAAGATCTTGATTAATTTGAGGATTAAGATGTACATATGTCCAAATGTTCATACTTAAATTGCAGTTTGTAAAGAGGTGCTTTAGATCCTCTATACCCTATTCACAAATTTGACAAGTAAATAAACAGCAGTTGGAAGTTTGCCGAAAAGGAGCATCCACATCAAGTGTTGAATTTTATAAGCCCAAGGGAGTTTCCAAATATGATAAGGAATTAGATTTTGGGTTCCATAAGTTTGAGCGAATAGGAGTTCACATGCAGATTTATCCTCAATTACTCCTCCTTGAATACAAAATTTGATCGGTATTGCTCTATTCCTGTGGAGAATGTTAGGAGGTAAAATGGAAAATAAGGTTCCACACTCCATTATTTATACAAGCGCTCACCATTCGAGGACAGTTTTGTGTTAATGGACTTGGGAGTCTAATCTCACTTAATGGTATGGGAATTATCCAATGGTCTCCCCAAAATTTTGTTGAATTCTCATTACGACCTATCCTTTTTTTGTAGACCCTAGCCTTGTTCATCAGCTTGAAACCTTTGATAACACTTTTCCACCCCATGAACTATTTGGTTTAGCCCAAGGTTTTTAAAATCGAATTGGACAATAAACCAATCAAGGGTTCGGTTCCTGGGTCAAACAGTCTGACCGTTCAAATCGAATGGGTGATCTGTTCTGACAAAAATAAAAAAATAAAATGGCCAAAACCGCTGAATGGTTCAAATGGTTTGACTGCCCGAGTCAGCGATTTACTGATCTAATCAACGGTTTTTGGCAAAATAACAGTTCTGGAGTAAAACAGACCAGTCACTTGATCGGTTCCGGCCCCAATTTTTCCAGTCCAGTCCGGTTTTGAAAACCATGGTTTAGCCTTTTACTCTCTATCTCCCATATTTTGAAAGAAGGATTTTAGCCTATAACGATTCCTTATTGGTTTCTAGCTTCCATGCTAACTTTGTTAGAAAAGCCTGATTTGCTAAGGTTGTGTCCTCTAAACCTAGAACCTCTGAATTTCCTTGGTTTTATAACCGACGTCGAAACTACATGATACTTACTTGATGTTCCTGTGGCTCCCCAAAGGAAATCGTTTTTAATCTTATCCACCCACTTGTTCTGAAACCACTTTTGGTATTTTGAAACTCTGTAAACAATAATACGGTATACTCTCTAGAGCACTATTGATTAAGTATGCCTACCTGCAATAGAGAGAGAGTATCCTATTTCCAAGCAAAGAGTTTTGTTTTAAGCTTGTGTATCAGAAATGTGAATGACCTTTTTTTTTGTGATTCTTCCTTCTAAAACCGGCATTCCTAAGTATTTAATTATCAAGATGTTTTGTCAATTTTAATCCAGTATTTGAAGCTAGTACTCTTTGCAATTTCCCAAGGACATTCTTGGAAGCACCAGTTATGCAAGACATTATAAGTCTACACCAATGTTGGGGAATGTTCATAGTTTTTAGGGTTTTGTCAATAAAAGCCCATTTAATTTTTCAAGATCTATTTTAATCCCCACAATTGCTAATTTACCCATCTTATGTCTCAACATGAATAATTTCATGCATAATCATAATGTTTTTATGAAACATTTCTTCCTGAAATAAAAAGTCATTTGAGTTGGTGAGATGACTTGATGAAGTAAGTAATGGCTTTCAATTATGTTTGCAATTATTTTCCTGACCACTTTATATGTTGTGTTCAACAAACAGATGGGTAGGTCAAAATTGACCGACTCTCTCAAGGTTATTTTGTTTGAGTATTAGTACCATGTAAGTTCTATTCAATTCTTTTGGCATCTCCATTTTGAAAAAATTCTTTAATTGCATTTGTCACTGTAGGACCTACCACATCCCAATGTTTAATAAAGAATTCAACCGTCAATCCATCTAGGCCTGGAGACTTGTTTTTAGGAAGATATCAAAAATACTGCTTTTATTTCCTCCTCTGTGACATAGCTAAAACAAGTACCTTGAATATTATTAATGGACTTAACACATGGATTTAAAGTAAGTCCCCATCTGTAATCACTAGTTCCAAATAAAGATTTGAGAAGTAATCTACAAAAAGCTGCCTTATTTATGAAGAATCCTTGTCCCATTGACCTGAATCATCCCTAATTAATGGTTACTATTTGGTTATGATGTCTGTGTCTAATAACAGTTATATGAAACAATTTAGTGTTTAACTCACCATCCATAATCCATTGAACTCTTGATTTTTGTTTCCAAAAAATATCCTTTTGTTTTAAAATGAATGTGTATTCAGTTTGAAGATTTTTTTTTCTTTTCTAACTCCCTTAAGGAATCTAGATTCCTAAATCTCCAAAGTTCAACACCCCTCAAAACGATTCAAAACTTTTCTTTTACATGCAAAAATATTACCAAAGACTGTTTTATTCCATTATTTAGCATGGTAAGAGATGCACTAATTCCACAACATTATTATATATATAGTATGATATGGCTGATGAAGTAGATGGGGTATTCCATGCTTTATTGACTACTGAAATAAATTCAGGGTTGTGCAACCACATATGCTCAATACGAAATGGTTTAGAATCTTTAGATGAGGGCGGGGCCATACCTAATACCTTCCGTGTCCAACAGTGATTAGAGTTATTCGAGGAAGATGAAGCAATTAATTGTGTCTTAAATTTCTTAATTAAGTTTCAACAACAACAAAATGAGCGAGTTTTGAGAGTTTCCCTCTTTTCGATACGAGAGTTATCCTCTCTCGGTTTTGAGAATTTTTCTCTCTGAGTTTTCAGAGTTTCCCTCTTTCTATTCTGTGAAAGTTTTTGTCTTAGGTTCTGTTTGCTTTTTGATAAATTATTTATTCGGGTAAATACAATTATCTGGTTAAAGTTTTTTCTAGAAAACACTTATTCGGGTAAATGTATTTACCCATGTTCTTTTATTTTTTAGATAAATAATATAATGACTATTTTAATCATAAAAATTTATTATTAAAAGAGATATTTTTGTCTCATTCAAGTGTTAGCAACCTTTCTCTTACATGTAAAAGTTATTTATTCATATAAGAGATGGGCGTTTAAGGGCACTTGAGTCAAAAACTTGTTATATGAAATAAGTTTGAGCGCTTAAGGGCACTCCAGTCAAAAACATGTTATATGAAATAAGTTTGGGCGCTTAAGGGCACTTCGGTCAAAAACATTGTTTAATAAGCTGACTCACTATTCAGGGGCAGTATAGTCATAAAACTTGCATTTAGGTTGACATGGAATCGTAAATAATTTGAGTTAATAAACTTTAACGATGTTGTAACTGATGGTGAATTTTGAAAAATAAAAAATGACTGACATAGTGAGTTTTGAAAAGTTACTTTGTCTTTAAGATAAATCGTGAAAATTCGTGATGAGTTTTGGACAATTTCCCATTTTTATCATTTATCAACCACAAAGTATATCGAAGCAAGAGAGAGGTCTATATTTGTTGTTACTGTCTCGCATAGACCGTAGATACAGTCCAGAAAATCAGCCCAAGAAATAAAACTGCTAACACGAAAGAAACATCGTAGGGTTTCCTTTCGCGTTTCGACATTTTCTGCGTCCCCTTTTCTCTGCAGGAGCTGTGCCTGTGCAGCTTACAAAACGCCGGCGGTTTACGGACCGGTTCCTCGGTATATCATTGTCGTTGCGTTATTGAACGCCTGGAGCTTAAATCCGGTTTTCTCGACTATCACATCACAGCTCTGCTGCTCTGCTCGGTTTTTGATCAACTTTTAGGGTTCTCATCTCGTTTGTGCGTGTAAAGGTGAGGTACGTCTCACTGAAACTTGTTTTTCTTCTTTCTTTTTTTTTTCTCCATTGTGCCCTAGCTAGTTCTGATGTTGGTCGGTCCCTTTTTAAGGATTCTGTCATGTTTTTTATTTTGTTTTTTTTTTTTTTGAATTTTGGGTTTCTGTTTTGGGTGGATGAGTCGAAATGGTTTAGATTTCGGCTCTAAAAACGTTTTTAATTGAGGAGGGAGGCCTTGTGGCTGAGCATTTTTTGATAGAACGGAGACGTTTCCGTGACTTTGGATGAGAAGAAACAGGTGACCGTGCAACATTCTTATTTAAGGAGAACAAAAAATGGTCAGCATGGTAATATATTTTAAGAGGCATGCAAAGGATGGGGGGGGGGTGGATTTTGTAAAGACCACAAGTCTGGAGTTTGCTCGAGGCAAGTGCGACAAAAACATCAAATTTTTAATCTGAGCCATCGAGTTGATAAATTGAATGGTATACCATGGCAAGGTCTTTACGCCACTACTAAATGTCTTTTCCCTTAGATGATTGCTGGGCATATGAGCGGAATATATACAGTTGATTAAACCAGTTCTCTTACTTGATGCTTCGTTGGATTAGAAATTCTTTGTCAAATAGCATTTCATTCCTAATCCTAAAATCACAAAACATCTCTTTATGTACGGGACAAAAAAATTAGACCCTCCCATTGACTTGATTGGGTTTGCCTCCAGGAGCGTTTATGGAGGTGGAGGGCCTATCTCGTAAAATTAGGGGTGCAATATGTTAAACATCACATTAGCTACCCAAAGTAATGCAATTGGGAGAAAAATAAACACATTGAAAGTTTCATATGCTTGAAATGTTGAATGCTTGACTATGTTTTATATGTTATGTTTATTTCTATTTTTTCACTTTGAATATGTTTTATATATGTTATGTTTATGTATTATAATTTGAGCCAATAAGCTTTGTAAGAGATTTAGTTTCTTTTAAAATTCAAGTTTGTATTTTTTCTGAATTAATATTTTTTAATTATATTCGAGTTTTTCAAAATACTGTACCTTGCTTCAAAAAGGTGCTGCACTTTTCTTGTGTCTTTTGAATTCAGGCATGATCGATTTGGTGTATTAGCAATTTAGAAATCAATTGTAATGATCTGATTTTCTACAAGGCTTCTCTGGCTGATGGGAAAATAGTCAAGTTTCCTCTCCCTCCTCTCTCTCTCTCTCTCACTCACTCACACACACACACACACACACACTCATTCATTATATAATCACTATGCTCGTGGGCTTGCAATGATGATGATAAATAGGCCTCTTAATCAAGTGGTCGAATTTGGTTTTTGGGATTTAGAAACAGCTATTAGGGAAGAATGTTAGTGTAGACAATACAAGACCAGCTTTCAGCTGAAAACCAATTAGATCATTTAATTGGCCTACAAATTATACTTAAATAACATTCTCTGGCCATGGTAAACTCCATGTACATGTTCTTACCTTGACACCTCAGCTTTGCTAAGGCATTAGCCATCGCATTTGCATACCTAGGCATCCACCTGAATGAGCAATTTGGGTAACACCCCAGATATTTATCTTCTCTTACTAAGAAAGAGAAGATACTTCCCTTCTAAGGCATTGTCTCAAACCATTTTCCATTTAGATGCAATATTGGTCTTCATGAAGCACTTAATAATAGAGCAATATTTGCAGTCTGGTCAGAATGTTTGAGATTCCAAGTTTCCACTATGGTGCATAGTTGCGGGAAGCTGGAGCATATGTGAGAGGGACAGCTAATAAAGGGCATGAATGGAAGCACTCCTACTGCATTCTTTACAAGGCTACAATATGTTTTCCAAGTAGTGTGACTTAAATTTATATTTTTTAGATATAAATGCAAATCAATATATTTTTGATAAAAAATTTGTATTATAAACAACAAAAGAATCCATAAACTATACTGTTCTATTGGGCCTTGAACTGTGAAGAATTCAAAGGAGTTGCTTTGGATCACCTATTTAGATGTTGATTGTTGACAGACTGTAGCAGGTTTCTCTTTTAGGAGACAGATATGTGGAAACGAGAGAACCAGAGAGATGCAGGGGAAAAATAAAGGCTTGCTGGGTGTAGTCTAGGCAACCTTGGAGCTCAAGTCCTTGCCTCATTGGAGGAGCTGTTGACATGACTGAGGGAGTATTCTTCTATGTTTTTTGGGGCCTGATGGTAGTTAAAGAAGAGTTTGGAACTAATCAAAGGTTTAAAGCTTTCCTTATCAACTTGCTAGATGGATTCACTTGTTGGCAAGGACTGTGAAGTATTTGTAAACTGGTTTGGATTCATGGAAAGAGGTACCTCGGGCACAATCTTGTATGTGAATGCCTTGGCCATGGTGAGGATTGTAAATTTCATCTTGGTAACTACACAGGTTTGGTGTTTTGCCAGTCTGTTCTATTTAATGCCATTATCCCTTGTTAAATTATTGGTGCTTAAATCATTTGTTACTACTTCTATCCATATCCTTTTTGGTCTACCCCTTGCCCCTTCTCTAGCCTTCGCAATTTGTAACAAATCAATTCTCCTTACGGGTGTTTTTTTTGGTCTTCTATGCACATCACCCAATCATCTTGGTCTACTTTCTAGTTTTCCACTCATCCATCTCAACATACACATTTGTACCACACTTATTTTCTGTTGTAGATGCAGTGTTTCAAAAGCGAAAGGTGCAAAAGAAAAAAAAAGCGCAAGGGCTAATTCATGACCAAGGTGTGAGGTGCAAGGCAAGGCATGCTCCTTTTTGAAGCAAGGTGCAAAAATGCTAACAAATTCAAAAGAAGGCACAAAATTCAAAAAATGTATATTATTAAAAATGATATTAATTAAAAATATAAACTTAAAATTTAAAACGAATATTTTAAAAAAAACCTATTACCTTAAATTATAATAGATAAAGTAACATGTAAAACATATTTAAATTGAATATTTATAAATAGAATCAACCATAACATATAAAACATGTTCAAGCATGTAAGCTCTTAATCTCTTTATTTTTTCCCAAGTGCATTACTTCAAATAGCTAATGTGATGTTAAATATTATGCATTCCTGATTCTATGGGCCGCCTTTGTACCAAGCCCCTTGAGGCAAGCCCAAACAAGTCCAAATCAGGGTCTTAAATTCTTAATCCCTATAAAAGGTTTTATAATTTTAAGTGTTTTTTAAAAATATCTTTTATTAGGACAAATGAATGAGCAACATTAGCAAATATTTGCGCACTAGGCACACGCCTTTTGAAAGCGTTATGCCTGGGGCCTAGGTGAGTCGCCTTGCCTATGCACCTAGGCATGGTTTTTAAATCACTCTGGTCAGTATCATTGCTGTTCTTTATTTCTATCCTTTTTTGATCAATGTTCTTTCTTTCTATCTAGCTATCTGAAATTCTGGATAGGATGTTATATCCCCCTTAAAAGCAATTAATCACGCTTTAATGTTGCTCATAAAAAATGGCAGCAATAATTGTTGATTGGGATTCTGATATCTAAAGTAAGAGCGGCAGAATTGATTTCTCAAGAAAAGTGACACTAGAAGAAGCTTAGTTTGATGATGAACATCCATACTGAGGCTATATACACCATTGATGAAGTGTATCAACAACCATAATATTACCTGCCTTGTCATTTGGCATACCTAGATGGATGACTTGTTGCCTAAGTGGGTGCCATATTGACATTACCTGAGGCATCTGCTTGACAAAATTAGAACACCTTTTCACCTAGGTGACACCTTGAATACTATGCTTGTCAGCCGAGAAGGATGGCGAATACAATGGAGAATATTCTCCATTCGCTATAAATTTATGGTTGATGGTATATGAGATTTTCTTTTGATCAATATAGTCTATGAGATGCATAGTTTTCAAGGCGCCACGGTGAGGCTAGGCTACAGGGGGGCGCCTTGTCACCTAGGCGATGGATTTTTTTAAGTAAAAATCACATATCCTAGGGTAGTTCCCTAGGTTCCATAACCAACTTTCTTTAATAACTATCCATAATTTTCATAAGAAAATTATAAACTTCATGTTTAAGTCTTGAAAATCAACATTTTTATGAGAAGAAAAAGAAGAAAGGAAAGAAAATTTAAAAAATATAGGGGCTGAACCCCTTTTTTTGTTATAGGAAAAGAAGAAGAAATGTGTTTATTAGACAAAATTTGAAGTCATTGAGGGTTCAATACAGCAATTAGCAATGTTTGTGTTGATTAAACCCTAACAAATAAGAAAATAATAAAAAGAAATTAGTTTATAAACACAAAACAGTGAATCTTTTTCTTTAATAATGTCTATTTTATAATTATAATCTAAAAATAACAATATAAAAGCATTTTATTACATAGTATGCAAAACTGCTTGGCGACTGGGCGAGGCGAGCCTCCAAGGGCGCCTTGTTGCCTTGGCGTTGCCTTGACAACTATGGTGAGATGAGATGTTTGAGAGACTTGAGTAGGGAAACATGTCCACTATGGTATTCATCAAAAAACATGTCCACTATGGTTTCCATTTCCTATTAAAAAATAAGATAAAACAAAACAAATAAAATAAAATAAACATGATGGTTTGTAATGGAGCACAAGTGAAATGCTTGTCTTTGTTTCTGGTGATCTTATTCTAGTGTCTTTGCTGTCTGGGAGATGCAATGAATGGAACAGTAAACATTAAGCATAATTATCTGATGGATATTATTTTTCTTACTGATTGACTGCTTTCTACCAAATATACTTGAACTGAATCAACAGATAAAGTATCTCATAGAACTACCTTGGATAATGCTTAAGAGAAGCATCTTAAGAGTTAATTATCTTGTTTTGAGAAGGAATCTTTTTGGAAAGATGAAAAGTGGTTCAGACTTTGTTTTCAGAATGAGTGGGAAACTTAATTTATTAAGTTATGGATCTGGCAATAAGTTTTCTTTTACACCTTTTCTTTATTTGTTAATAATGTATGTCAAAATCAAGAATTATTAAATAAAATATAACAGAGGTAAGAGCAACAGGGAGCACCGATAAAAAAATCTTGACCAAGCCAAAGGCAAAAGTGATCCTCTGTACAGCTCAGACCTTGTGATACCAGTACACCACTTGGCTTGCAAAGTTGCAACTGGCATGAGTGGGCCATGGCTTTCCACTTAAATCTCTCTACAGAAGCATTCAATATCCTATTTTCAACCTGGTAGCATCTCCCGTCTCCTTGGCATGAAAGGCAGCAGTAGTGACTTGGTTGGTCACCTGGTTGCCCTTCTAGAAGCTTTTTTGCTCTTTGGCTGCTTAGGGAGTAGAAGGGAAGACTGCAGCCAAATGCAATTGAGCTAAATTTAGCTGGTTTTTGCTCACTTTTTTTTTCTCTCTTAATTTGGTTGACTTTTTACGTTAGTGGTGTAGGGTTTAACTATAGTGACATACTTGTTTCTAGATAAAACTACCCAATCAAGTAGAATTTTTACCTACTAATTGTTGTTTCTTTCATGCCATTCTTTTTCTTTTTCTTTCAAATAGTCAAGATTATGTCTGACTTGAATTGAGTATACTATTCTGTTTTTTCCATTTTGTCATAGTATTTGGACATTTTAGATGTAGTTGCTTGGATGCTTCTCATTGTCTTGCTGAAGTTTGCAGAATCTTCCTTGCAGATCAATCAGATCCATTCTTGCATATCCATGGCTGATTCAGAGCCGGTTGTCATGGACACTGAATCAACTGCCTCCATGGTGGAACAGCTTGGCAAGGCATTTATTGAGCTTGAGTCTCACAAGGATGCTTCCGAGGATACTGCTAATTGGAAGGAAATTGAAGAACATTTTTGCAACCTTGAGAAAGTTCTTAAGAGCAGATTTGATGAGTTTGAAGAGAAGGAAAGGACCTTTGAGGATAAGAAATCTGAAACTTCCACACTGCTTGCGGAGAAAGAAGCAGTTGTTGCTGCTCAGGAACAAGCTTTTTTGAATCGGGTTCAGGAGGTAAAAGATGCCGCTGTTGCTGCCATCCTGGAGGCGTGGGAGAAATACAAGTCAACATCTCCAGAGCCTGCTGATGATGGGGGCAACACAGAAAGCAAGGTAAGCAGCTCATTCAATGGTGACAACAATGCATCTGTCCCTGCTCCAGAGGAGGAGTCCCCTCTTAGATCAGGTGAACATGCTGAAGGCGTGGCTGTTGAAGAAGTTAAGCCACGTCCAGAGCTGACGCAATTTTGCGAACAGATGGATGCAAAAGGGCTTCTGAATTTCGTTATGGAGAACTGGAAAAATCTCGCTGTCCTGCGTCAGGAAATTCATGTTGCATTGCAAAGTGCAACTGAACCAGCCCGTTTGGTGCTGGATTCATTGGATGGGTTCTACCCTCCTGATCAAACTATCGATCAGGCTAACAAGAGGGATGCAGCCCTTCAGGGCATGCGAAGATCATGTGTTCTGTTGATGGAAGCCGTGGCCCCCTTGTTGGCGAGGGCTGAGCCAGGTGATGATCACCTTCTGAGCCCCGAAACCAAGCAGCAAGCCAAGGCAATTGCTGATGAGTGGAAACCTAAATTGGCTGCCATGGACATTGATGCTGCCAATGGAAATTCATTGGAAGCAGAGGCATTTCTGCATCTCCTCGCAACTTTTAGGATTGCTTCGGAGTTTGATGAAGAAGAACTTTGCAAGCTTGTTCTTGCTGTTGCTCGTCGCAGGCAGACACCTGAGCTCTGCCGTTCTCTTGGGCTAACGCACAAAATGCCAGGTTGGTTTTCTGTTAACTAGCTAGACCCTGATGGTGTCTGGAGACCATACCTCTTTTTTCTCTAGGTTGTCCTATTATTATGACTATAGGATGGTAGGATGTATAGAGTTTGGGAAAGATGAGACATTGAGACCTGAGGATCAAGTGGATAAAGTGGCCTGTTATCATATATGCTTTTGTTAGCTAGTGGGAAGAAAATTCATATGATTTATGGTGTCTGACTAGGAACCTCAACTTTTGTGCAGGTGTGGTTGAATCATTGATCATCCGTGGGAGACAAGTTGATGCAGTGCATTTTGTGCAAGCCTTCCAGCTTACGGAGAGTTTCCCCCCTGTGCCCCTCTTAAAGACATACTTGAAGGACTTGAGAAGAAATTCCCAAGGGAAAGGTGCTGCTGGCGGCACCCAGGTGATCATCACTCTACCAATATCATGTAAAACTAAATTGTTATGTCGTTTTATTTTTCTTTCTTTTTAACTTACTGGAGATTTTGTTTTTGCTTTTGGTATTAGAGTGATGTTAACACACAGGAGCTGGCAGCACTGAGAGCCGTCATCAGGTGCGTTGAAGAGTACAAGCTTGAAGCGGAATATCCACTTGATCCACTTCAGAAACGAGTGGCTCAGCTGGAGAAATCAAAGTCTGAAAAGAAGAGGACAGGAGAAGTGGTAAAACATCAACCACCAAAAAAGGCCCGAGCAAATGGAGGGTATTATGGGGCTCGCATGCCTGTGGCTCCCATGGATAGGCAGCCTCCACCAGTTTTCAATGAGAGGGGAGCATATATGGGAATGGGAGCAACAGAAAGGTATCCTCATGCTGGTCCAGCCACTTACGATTATCAAGTTCCTAGCCAGAGTGCATATGTCCAGCAGGCCAACACTCAAAGACCTTACTATTATCCTCAGGATGACAGGGTCACAGCTACCTCGTACCCTCCTGCTCCATCTAACTATGGGGCCTATATGGGTGGTGGTTTGCAGTCTTCAAATCAGTCCTACATGTAAAACAGTTTTTTTTTTTTTTTAGATGGAGTATGAAGCATTTACTGCAGGAACAAATTTGTAGAGATAACTTCTAGAGAGAAGTATTTTCAGCATGATTGTAGTAGGCAGACCTTATTTTCTCCCTTTTGTCATACGGTCGATCCCAAACCGAGACTTCAAACTAGAATAGATTTTCTTTTTGCCATAAGCTAGAATAGTTGAGCCCCTAATTGTGTAGTAGTTTTCAGCCTTTCTTGAAAGATTCCTATTATATTATATAAGTATGCATGGTTCATATTAGTTGGCTTGGCCTTGGCCTTGCAATGTTTCTTTCTTAACAACTCATTATAATCCAGATCCAGTAAGCCTTTAGACTTTAGTTGCATCAGTGTGAAAGTTTTGCCTGAGTCTTCCGAACAGGTCATGCTCTTGAAGTTGATTGGGGCATGTCAGCTGAGAACGGAACGATTATATGGTCTAAATCATCGCATTTAGACAAAAACATGTGGCCAACTGGCCAAGGCATTATGGGCTAACAACCCAGACCTGTTCGGCCTAGTTTGGCCAATTGGGTGATCTACACCATCAAAATACTGGTTTTTAAAATGAAAAAAGAAATTTTGTAGCATAAAAGTTATATATGATTTATGGAACATTTGAACAAATAAATACATGTTTTTGGTTCCTGTTTCGAAAACAAAAAACGTATACATAATTAAGAACACATATATATATATATATATAATTTTTTTTTCTATTGTTTGTGTGTTTTTGTTTTGAGAAACAATTTATTTTTAAGTTCTGACAATCAAAGAGAGGTTTCAGAGGCATTTGGCCTCGTTCAAAAGTTCGTTATTTGTTTTGCATCATTACCGATTGCTGTATGAGATGTATCGTTTGAACTGTAGAGTAGCTTACCCTTCCATTATCCCTCCAACCATCAAGTCCCACGTGCAACTACTAGTATGTGAGAGGGACCTTACCTTACGCGCTTTGACTGATGGAGTGGTTTGTAGAGGAAACGGAGCGTCGGAGTTGGATCGGTTTTTTAAGAACTGAATTATGGTCAAAACACAATGAGGTATTTGGAAGGGAAACGTAATGCTGTTAGACAGTTCAAATTCAATCAAACAATCCTAGTTTCAAAAATGTTTTCAGGGTCCGTTTGGCATTGGGCCTATTAAGAAGGTGAAGATGTTGAAAAAAGCTAGCTAAAGAAACAAAAATTGTTCCAATTGAGCTTGTGGAGGGTTAATCTCTTTCCTTTTGCTGTTGTAATGTGTTATTTCTCTCTTGGGTGACCGTTAGACAAATGTGTAAAACGAGAGTTTGACGGCAACATTTGTTTAATTAAAAGAAAAGAATAACTGAAATATCGTTATGAAAAACAAACAAAAAAAAAAACTAAAAAAAGTAGACATTTTTTTAATTGTTGCATATTTATTTTTATTTTTATTTATCTTCCTTTATTTTTGTTTTATTATATGGCTTTTATTTTTCCCATTACCCCATATTTTATTTATTTTTGAATAAAATGTGGGGGAGGCTTTTGTTTCCTAAAAGAGTGATGTGAGACTTTCCACGGGCACTTTTGGAATAAGAAACCATTTCTCACCAAAATACAAATAGTTTATAAAGGAAGATGCATTTGGTAATGTGATTGCAACATAATGGGGTGTCTGAGTAAATGAGCCAAAAAAAAAAAAACTTTTCCTTTTTTTTCAAATGTGTTTCACACACGTTGGCGTAAGTTAGGGATGATGGACCCATATAGATCATTGAGTGAAATAGTTGCTCAATTAAGTAAACAACAAATGTTAATTCTTTAACCCCAACTCCCAAGCAATATTTTGAATTTTTAATTTGAGAATGAAGATGATCTTAAATTGGTTCAAAAATGAAAAATCACATGTTGGAGAATTTTTTCTTTTTGGCATTGAAGCTCAAGCTTCGTTGAACTGAGGTGTAGGAGATACACAACTAAAAGAATTTGGATTCACCCCATGGCATGTGTGAATATTTCTTTCTCTCTTTAACAAAGGAAAAAAGAAAAGAAAAAAAAAGTCATATTCCTCACAAAGGGCCAATATGTAAGCTTTTTTAGTTGCGGAGAGATCCCGGGTCTTTAGCGTTTGGATCATGGAAAGGTTATCACTTTCCAACATAAGAAGGACCGGAAAAGAGCTGTTTGGCAAACTGCACTCCTTTTAAAGCTGCCATCTACATAGAACATTCTTTTGGCGAGGCCTGCCAAACAAGTTCTGCTCTCCATTATGAGGAGTTTGCAAAGAACCTGTCCATTTTTGCTGCAAAATCAATGATTTTGAACTTGCCAAACAAGTTCTGCTCTCCAATGTTGAACGATCTCAGAAACAAAATCAGGTTGGAGAATGAATCTTCAGTGATTTTTGATGATGCACAATCTGGCCGGTCTTAGCTGTTGACGATCTTGCCTCTGGAGTGAGTAACAGGAACCTGAAATGGGAGAAGAKAAGCTCYGGGGAGAWCCCGRCGTAAGGGCTCCGAAGCTCAAGTTAGAATCCTTTAGAGGCAAGAATAACCAGATAGCGCGAGAGTTAGCATACCTCCTCCC